ATTCTGTGAGCTGTTCTTCAGTGAGCGTGGGGGCTCGCGTTCCCGCTGTGGTGTGCTGCGAACCAGCAGGAACGAGGAAGGGCTCATGTCCTACTATCAGCTCCGCATTCCCGAGGTACTAAAACAGTCAATGTTGCTTTAAGATGAAGTTTCAGTAATATAGAGTTGTAAGACACAGTAAGAAACGTAGACACCTTGACAATATGTCGATGCCGTCGACTTGAGATAGCACTAGGTATGCTTCCTCTGGAGCACCATCGAGTTCCAATTTGCAAGCGCAACTTGCTCACTTGTTTGGCAAGGTTTGCCGATTGCCGAATATAATGCTGTATTAATTAGTTTCTTACCTTTAAATAAATATCATGGATTGGCGTGCTCATGTTCAAGACAGCTGTGGGCTTAGCGAGCACGTCTGCCAACAGAACTCTGCTGGGTATCTCGATGAACAGCCATTTAAATTCGCGAAACTCATTTCGGGACCAACAGATATACTGTTCCGCTATTCTTTTGTTGCCTGCTCATACGAGCGCAGAAGCACCTAAGCACACATTATGAACAAGGGCAGCTGGGGGAAGAAAGACAAGCACTAGGTAAAAGGCTGCTCGCATGGAGAGACGCTCGCAGGAATTATGTGCATTGTGGCCCTCCAGTGGCCTCGTGTAGCCTGTTGGCAAATTGTCTTGCAGCTCTCAACCAGTGTCGTTCGTTCGCGTCCTCTGGCAACCGTTGGGAAGTGCAACTGCTGTTTGCCGATTGTTTAAAGAATCTTATGAATTTTTCGATGACTGTAGCGCATTTACAGTCAAAAGGACGGATTTTTGATTGACTGTAAATGCGTTGCATTGCAGAAAGCGTTTTTTCCCTCTCCTATGTGACGGTCATATGTGTCAATAACGCACGAAAAAAACCATACACCATGAGGCGCTATTGGGTGCTCTCCTTCGCGCGCTTACATAGCACGTTTCACGTTGTGTGCCATTTTAGCTGCAGGCAAATATTTCAAAGTAAGCCTCACAGCTTTTGGGGTGAGCGAGAACTTTCAATGTGTCAGCAACGCAATTAACCGCGAGGTTTTTCTACTGTGTGTATGCATTCGTTTTCCACGTGATTGAACGGTTCTTTTCGGCGCATTCCTCTCAAAGAAAAGACAGCAGCCATCATTAGCTCAAAAAAACAAAAAGCAGGCCCTGGATGGTACACTGTAGCGTGTTTAACCCATGATGCGTTGATCCGCGAAGGGCGCTCATCAGGTGGTGAAGAATCCCGCCGTTGGTCCTTGAAATTTGTTACTAGCTTACAGAGTTACTACTTTCATCTTCGTCAGACATTTGACGCCCACGGGAGCCTCTATTTTCGTTTGTCCAGTGAACTTTCAGGTATCTGTGGAACTGCATAAGCACAAAGGTAACTGCCACTCCTATGAAGATGACGGCAACATTGAGAAGAAAAGATACAGCAGATTGGGGACGCTTGTTGAAAACAGTCAAAATCTTCTGTTTCTGCACAAATAATTCGCATACTCA